ATCGCATTTTCATGGAGCAGTCGATTTTGTCCAGGTTCCAGAATATACCTATTTATTATTACATTACGTTTTTAATTTATCGACATTTATTAAACCTTTTAAATAATATCCGCTTATGTATGCTCGATACAACTAACCTATGGAATATTACAAAAATTGTTGAGGTGATGGCCGCATGCCATAATATTATATTTCACTAATTTATGGAATTTCGAACCGCCCACTCGAATGAAATGTCGCATTGATCGAATCATCGTTGGTCTGCACTGATGATAACGAATAGGAAATTTAATATTACCATGATGAGCATACCTTTTTTTACACTAATAAATTATAATTATTTGTTTACAATCATGCACATACATTAAAAACTAAATAACAATATTATAATGCATTAATACATATATTTTTTACAAACTACAAGACATTCTTGAACAATTATTAATTGCATTTTGCTTATTTGAATTGTTTTATTGTAATTATTTAATATTTTATACTTTAGAGTTCAGACCTAAGGTCAAACACAACTTGTTTTACAATAAAATATATAAATTCCCTGTCCCAGCCTATATATTTCGATAATTAATACAAAACATTACACTGCAGCCAAAAGATCGATATTAATTAACGTTACCTACTGCTGTTATATTATCTATGGAATTATATTGCCGGGCTCGTTTTTGAATTGAATTAAAAACAATTTTTAGTTCCATATTTTATATCTATCGAACAAATAGAAGTTTCATTCGTAGAGCAATAGCGCATCACGTTTAAAATTATTCTATGTAATATAGTAGGTATAATGGCGTACGGGGTACATGTGTTTCGAAATTATTGTGATCACGATGATGTTTATTGCAATGAAAAGATTAACGGAACATCGTTTTGTCTATTTGTAATAAATGTCTGATCTACTAACTTCTATCGATAAAAAATCTAAATGACAAAACAATAATAGGTTTATTGTGTTATTTATTATTTATATTTTGGAAGAAAGACGACCAAAATATATAGCTTTTTGATGATGTCTAAGTTAATAAATTGTGTTACACAAAATTGTTGTTATTTAAACTAAATAAAAACTATTAATGGCGATAACAAAGACTACTATTGTATTAAAAGTAAGTTAGCGAAAATTTGTAACGATACTTAACGAATTATTAAAGCAATATATTATTTTAAATTAGTAGATGCAAATATGTAACACACAATAATTATTATTATTAGTTAGCAATACAAGAACCTCCTAAATTCCCATTAATAACTATATTTAATGCAATATAGCTTACATAATATTAAGGCGCGTTAAGCCAATAATGAAATAACAGCATAAACAATTTTGTTTTTAAAATTATCAAACTATTTTCAAGTTTAATTTTTAAACACTCAGGTTGCCACAAATGGAAGTCTTCCCTTCTCTCATACTATTTGTTTTTGTGTTTATTTTTGTCTCGTTTGCTTACTGTATTACCATAAACACAGATTGTAGATAAACTTTATTTTGTAATAATAATAAAAATATTTAGACAATGTTAATAATACAATTATACAATGTGATGTTTAAATGTACTATAATACTCTCAAAAAAAGAAAGAACAAGTTAATAATAGTTAATAATGAATCTAATGAAAATACTGAAAATCTGTGTACATTTAGATTTTAGAAACGGTACACATGACTGGGAACCTATGTATATTGTACACAGTACACTAATTTAATACTTATAGCCGTTATAGGTATAGGTATGCATTCGTATGTTACCACAGTAACTGTATAACAGTGCGAACACGTAATTATACGTTTTATGGTGGCATAAGTGATACGCACTTGGAGTTTTCTACTGCTCAATGTTCATAAATAAATGGTCGTAATAACGACAGAGTAGGTATATGTATATTATATTAAAATAAAATATTTATATAAGTAACATTATTATTTATTATATCACCTATATACGCAGCTATTTGGCTGAATGATGGCATCGTCACAAATCATAATATACTAAATAATATTGCAACCTAATACTAATATTATTTGCAGAATTAGTTTTGATTTTAATTTCCTAGTTCGATTTTGTTCGTAATAAATTCACGACTCGCACTCATTTTTAGACGACATTATTATTGTAATTATTAAAGTCTCCATTTGGTACCACTGGTGCCATGTGCATTTATCATGACATCTTAAATCAATAAACTTGTATTTATGTAATTGTATAATTAATAAAATTGCATAAATGTCAACTGCTTCGTAATGTGATAATTTTCATTTTTCTGTATATCAAAAAAAAAACATAGTGCTTACTTACTTATTCTTATACCTACCATCATCTGATTTACAAAATGTCAAAAACTACTCTGTATCCCTATGTTTAAATGACAAAAGAATAACTTTAAATAAATAATAAACAAAAACAAAAAATGTGTAATTATAGCAGTATATTATAATATTATCTGTTGCTTCAAATTTTATTTAGATGTTCATTCAAAGTTATATTAATTCCGATTATTGTAAACCACTGTCATGTCGTTGCCCATTAGGTCTACCTATGAGAGGAGAATCGCGTACCTGCATACAATTTTTCCCATAGGTTTTTTTTATGTTCTTTTTAAACGTCAAATATTAASTATACAAACAAACGAATTTATTGTTGTTGTTAGTATTCCACCACGTCCGTCTATAATAATTGTGAAATAAATACACCAAAGTAAGCATTCGGTGTTTCGTTGTGACCGCTTTGAATGTTAACATCATAATGTTTGCACTTTTTATTTTTATTATTTACGCCTGCCACGGACACGCGAATCGTTCTCCAAAGCTAACAAGCGTGTAGTGTTGTTGCCCGCCGCGTTAACTGATAAAACGATTCCGGATCGGTAACCTGATTTTTCAACCTAAAAACCGCCTAATGGTCGTTCATATAGTTTGCGAACACCTAATAGAGTCCAATATAGGTATATTATATACTTTATACGTCGACAAATATAAAACGTGTTCCAGACACGTTTTAATGTCGAATCGGCTGCACAAAAATACCCATGTGCAGGTTAATCAATTACGCATTCCGACAAAAACGACTTATTGCTGTACTACAATATAAATTTAATATATATATAATTTGTTTTCATTATTCATATCTAAGAACGTTTAATCACGAGAACACCTGTACTCTATAATATAGAGTCTATATAAACGATTATATCGATATAGTAGGTCTATACAAATTACCTAGTGAAAAAAAATAATATTATAATGTATCGTTATTTCATCGAATATCATTAACGGGCGTGCTCAAAGTTTATGAATAGTGAGTACCAAATTTCATGCAGTGAAATATTTCATATGAAATAAATATATTATAATAGGTATAGGTTTTTAATTTAACCTTTATGTGTACAGTATACTACCATGAGAAATCTACATCATTTCCGGGCTCTTAATTATGCCTTGTCAGATGCCGTATACTTGCAGGGTACTAATGCCCCGTTACTTTGGTTCACTGCATGTATCGAACAATATCATAAGTGTTACTTAACATACTAACCTCATGAAATATCATTAATTCTATCACGTAATAATGCCTAAACCTTTAATGTTTCAATCATATTATAACGCTTTCGTACAGATCTACAATTGTATATATACCTATATATAATTACATTTCACTATAGCTATGACGGGGATTGTACAAAAATTATTATATTATTGTTTTGTTCCGTGTTGGACTTGCTATGGTCAAGTAACCCTAAAACGACCTGTTTGATTCCAGGTGACCTGCAGCAGAAACACTGAATGTTATAAATTTATAATTGAGTAACAATAATGACGCACGATTGAATAGTTGATATTCTTTATCACGACATACAATTAAGTGTATGATGATGGAAAAAAACATAATTAGCTTACATTTTTTTATACTTTTGTTATGTGTTAATACAACTTTTATCGACTATATGTTCGACTATTATAGGAGCAAASGTAAAATTTGCGCCACTTATTGGTATTTGCGGTTTCATACCAATATTTACCATAAAGTAATTAGTATTATACTTTTTTATACGYACCTATTAAATGGATTATTTTTAATTACTTCCGAATAAATTTAGTAATTAATCATCCTACTCCATATTTTTAATAAATAATTTACACAACCATTTGTTTTTAATTTAGTAATGAATGTATAATCTACAACCTTAAGTAGGTAGAAGCTTAGAGTAAATTGATGATCATTTCAATCTGTTACAAATTGTCACGAATTAAAAAAAAACTTGTTGACTACTGACTTTAAAATGTGTAAAAAAAATTCCATACATAAATAGAAAACAAACAATAACTGAATAAATTATGTGAAAATCAAGCCCGTTTGAAGTATAAGAAGATATTGGTAAAAAAGTTCAAATAATACTCATACATATTRTAGATTCTTCGAGTGTCATTAATTTACGAACTCATGAATAAGTAGACCGGTTTGCTGTCTATATGCTAGGTAATTGACACGATTTTTGACGTGACGGTGGGACCAATAAAAATTAGTCATTTCACACAATCACTAAAATATTTGAATATATATATATATATATTAAACTCATCGTACACTATCATACATGCATCATACACTCATATACAGAATATAATATATAGAAAATAATCGATTCTGTCGGTTTATGCACCATTGGAATACCACGAAATCGACGTCCTGCGCCATCTTGTAATATGATAATCGCGTAATAAATTGACTATTATTTTTTCAAGACTCTACACCTAATATGCCGTACACTAATAAATAGCAAAATTATATCCTTTTGTCCTTTCACGACCTCCTTTTCCAGGTCTCGTTATTTTAACTGCACAGCAAATTAATAATAATGTTGTGRACTCTGCGTGTTAGAACTTTGTCGAATATTGTCTGTGCGTGTCGATTGTGCAGTGTTGAGTCTTATACTGTGTCTGTGTGATCTGTGTTTAACTTATACTTATAAATCGTATGTATTTCGTTGCAGCGCAAACACTCAGATGGACAACGATGTCACGCCAGTTTACTTGGCCGCACAAGAGGGACACCTGGAAGTACTCAAGTTCCTCGTACTCGAGGCTGGTGGTTCGCTGTACGTCCGAGCCAAAGACGGCATGGCCCCAGTGCACGCAGCCGCCCAAATGGGATGTCTCAACTGTTTGAAGTGGATGGTGAGTACAACATTTTACTACTAATATTGTACGACGGTATTCCGATTAAGGCTCCGCGTCTCAACGATACAATTATTTGAAATGTCTTGTATAATGCATATGTTATATATTATATTATTATGTGGAAGGTTTGATCGCGTTAGACGAAATAAATAAATAGAATAAATGGAACATAAATCATTTTKTCCACATATTTTTACCCATTTAAAGTCACATTCAACATTTAACTAGTAGTTCTTAATTCCTGCATGATTAAAGTTGTTGACCTACTGCGCAATCAGTTATGCTGCGGGTACATAATATAATAATAAGTTCTACTAATGTCACACACTTTAGCATGATTTATTATAGAACGTTTATGTTAGTTATATATTATAGTAGGGACTATATATAGCCACTATGWATCTTATTTACTAACTATATATAATAAAAATTAAATGTGCGATTTTTTTTTTCAATTTTCTTACAAAATATTGCGGAAGTTGTCGGTATTTGCACGTGGGATTTTATATTTTATAACTATTCAACTTTCATAATAAAAATTACTGATCTTTAGTTTCGTGTAGTTTTTACGGTATCTAATATAATAATTAATAACTGTACAATCATTAAAATATAATCACCATAATTAAAATGTTATACAAATATATGTCTTTAAAACGTCTTGTTTCATAACAAAGTCATTACTTCCATTGGAATTCAGTGAAAGCCAAGTGCTTACTTACAAGTTATAACAATAAAAAAATCTAGAAGAGTTATAAAAACGAAATAGGTAGTACTTTACATTTTGATTCTGGGGAGTTTGTATGACTAGAATCATTATTCATTATTTACTGAGAATAACAAATTTTGATCAATCATCGTGTTAGCATATTTCATTTATATACATTTCTGCACCGAGGGTTTTGTGTATATACTGTATATTATTATTATAATAAACCTATATATATATATATATATATATATATATTATATATATATATTGAAAATAACAAGTAATATCGAAAACACGAAATCGCTGTCTTTCACGCTTATATCAGTGAACCTCGAAATGTTTCGTCATGGTTTCGACGTTCTCGGCGGTATTGTTATTCTTTTTAAAAATATTTTTATAAAGTAATTGCTATAGATCTTGTCTAATCCTTATCCTGGTGGATAATGCTTGATATATTATTATGTGTGTTGTTTTTTTCTGTTTAGCATATAATAATTATTTATTATACTTTAGTAATTATCACCATYGTCGAAAATTTATTATTATTATTGTTTTTTTTATAATATTATGCATTGCGCACCGTATGTGTGATTGAACAGGTCAGAGATCAAGGAGTCGACCCAAACCTCAGAGATGGTGATGGTGCAACAGCGTTACATTTCGCCGCAAGCAGAGGTCACGTAGACACGGTGCGGTGGTTGTTGAGGCACGGCGCCAATCTGGTCGTCGACAAATACGGAAAAAGCCCAATCAACGACGCAGCAGAAAATCATCAGATGGAGGTAAGCAATAATCAACGTTAATATATAAAACTTAATAGGAATAATACGACTTTGAGTTGTTTTTACCATAACAAAAAGCGAACATTTTACGAACTTGCCTTCAGCTTTTATGTTCTCCCGTACTTTTTCTTCCATATTTTCTTTTGATGCTTAGCCCCTTAGGCGTATTTGTTAAAAAAATATAATAACAAATAAAATGTTATTTAAAAATCCAATGCCAAAATGGCAAAATATTTAACAAAATTATAATCTATTGAGAAAATAAGTAAAATCTATAATGTATTGATCTAATACCTAATTATAATTTAATCATAACCAATTTTTGCGACTAATGCTAAATTTGATTTTTAACCTTTAATGATGATAGATTCAGAATTTCAAGATAATTTTCTGTGGTCAATTCTTTTCAAGGAACGTCTTATAAAATCAATATTATTACACGACTATTTACCAAGTACGCTCACCTGTATTTTTTCCTATAATAATGAATTTATTCAAATTTTAACTTTTGAAATAATAATAATAATTAATAATTGCATTATGTAAAACAAAATAAGGGGTAAATATGTTCAATCACGCAGTATATCTAGGTATACATTAAACCAGCGGTCGTCAACCTTTTGGACCTTGCGGACCACTGAAACCATATTCTGAATTCTACGGACCATCTATATCTTAAAATAGTTTTTTTACATAAATACTGTACTACTATTGATAAATGTTGCATCAAAATATTATAAAAAAATATATATTATGTAAAATAATAAAAAAGGTTTTATTTTTATTTATGATGAAAGTTTTGTTAGGTATAAATATATAATAAGGAAAAGACAAACCGAAAGAAAAACAATAAGTTGTCATTAACAAAAAGACGTTTGTTATATTATTATTATATATTTATACCTAACAGTTTTAAGTTTTAATTAAATTTTATATTACAATAATWAATAAATAATACTGCAAGTTAAGTTCAAATTTTTCCGCGGATCACCTAAATTTTCACGCGGGCCATCAGTGGTCCACGGACCACCGATTGGCGACCGCTGCATTAAACAATATAATATTATAGTATAATACATAGATAGATAACTATAAAAACCAATTATTTTAAGATGGGCACTCTGATCCTCACGGAAAAGCACAATCGGGAATCGAGCATATCCCTTTTTAGCAACACGATTAGGCACAGGATATTTTATGCAACGCTGTCATATTTACATTTCCGAAATTTCGTAATTTATTATATTCACGTATTATTATGATACAAAACTTAAACAGAACGCTAGCAGTGAGCAGAGCACAATGATTTTAATAATGACAATGCTACTGATTAATAAATTATAGATATAATATTTTTGATTATTGTCAAATACAATTTTCTATTAAATTAATGAAAAATAATAAATTAATAAAGTAAAGTTTAAAACAAGTATTATAATACAAAATATCTATATTTGGCATAATAAAAATTAACGTTTAAAAAAAATTTAGTGAAATGGCCATTTACCAAATAATGTAATTATTTTATCGGAGACTTTTGACTCTTACAATATTTTGAAGTATTATAATTATTTAAATAAATATTTTTTGTATAATATAGGTTGAAAATGAAAATGAAAATATTACAGAGTTTTTTTGTGCTTAATCATGTAGGTTTTTTTTATATATCTATATCCTTTGATACGCAAAAATGTTCTCAATCGTGTCGTAAAAAAGGTGTTTTATACTCAATGATGTTGTAGTTGGTCCACAAAATAACAAAATGGTTAAGACATTGGTTTGAAAATTTGAAACAATTTAGTRATTTTTCTTTTTAAGAAATGCATGCGAGAAAAACAGATTCGTGAATTTATTTTCATGTCATGAAATATCAGTCTTCTAAATCCCGAAGTTAATATTATTGGTAATCTCTGTTTTATCGTGACCCATCGACATCAATTCAATAACACAAATTTATTGATATCCGTGGTAGTCTATCATAGTCGGTGGATCACGATGATAATTATTAGGTTTCGTATGTGAGAAATGTGAATAGAGAAGGCGCGTGCGTATTTCAATTTCTCTTTTATCGTTTTTCCGGCCATGTATGCAACATTATATTATATAGAGGAAGGCACAATAATTTAATTATTATTATTATAAGCTGAATACCCAATTTTCTGTTGTTGCTCAGTAGTCAGTGCTGACCCACGTCAAATTCTTCAGATGAAGTCTCTGTAAATCGGCATATTTGGTAAATAAAATCAATTTCACGCATCAACAATATTATTACTCGACGTACAGACATTCAGCAAAGCGTATTTAATAACCTTTCGCCTGTCGTCAATCGGCATTTGTCAATTGTAATATTGTCGTATTTAGGTACTATATTGTGTTACAATTTACAACAATAATTTTTTGAATTTCTGATAGCGTTGATGGTGGCGTCAAATAAACAAGAAAAATGTGTTTGTTCTCATCATCACCCAGTTAATTATTAACCCTAATTATTGTCTGCAGCTGCAGTTAAATGTATATTATTTCCATRGCTCGTTAAATACCACGACCGTGATCTTTAATATTTATATCGCTATTATGATGACCATGGGTGAATGATACTATAGTGTTCATCGCACGGTGAAATCGACAACGCTCAACGGACATTCCGGCGTCTGCGCTGTTTGCGTTCATGTTCCAATAACCTCTTGATGCGATTCTCTAGATGGTTGGTGACCTTGATCCATCATGGCTAGTGAAAGAACGATGTTATGATGTTATGTGTGAAGCCATATAACGTGAGAAAAACGAAAGCTTGAAACTTTAACCAACTATATAATATATTATGTTCAATATTATAATGAAATTAATCTCCCCACTGTGCACCATAATATAAAAGTACCAATTATCAAGCAGGAGATATACTTAGTACTTACCCTAGAGTGCATATAATATTACAAAAATATACAATGCAAGTATAACTACGCCCTAACATTTATCCCATAGTCAGAAGTTTCGCAATGTGTGTACTGTGTATAGGCCAAAAAAAAATAAAAAATACGCACTCGATATGTCAACCGCAAATTAATTGTCGTTTGCATCATTTCTTACACGTAATAGTTATGATATATTATATATTTATATGTGAGTAAGTGTTGTGAAATCCATCGATATACATTATATATATGTTTATAATGCGATAATCCGTCTTGAATTGTATGTATTGTACCTACCGATACCCTTTCGAAATGTTAATAATGTAATATTATATTATGTGTGTGCKTGTATTTGCAGTGTCTGAACATATTGGTGCAACATGGTACGATGCCAGATTATCACGACGAGAAAAAGAACGGCAGGCTGTTGGGCTGTACATGTCGAAAAGAAGAACCAAAAACACGAGTGAGTGTATTTTACTATAATAATRTAAATAAATAAYAATATAACTATATTGTATTATATTATGTGTGTATTTGTCTTTCAAATGACTCTCTCGTTTGTAGGTATATTTTATAAGAGATGAAATATGTAATAATTATACACATTATATCATTATTTTTTTAGTTTACATTTAGTTGATTAAATAATTTAAATTCTTCATAATCATCAGCTGTTAAATTATYGTGTATTTAATACACCAATTATATTATTGTTAACACCAAATATACTACACTATCATAATATAACAATACCTCACCTATATGTTTGGCAGGCAGGACACACACTTCTGCTGCTCGTCCGTAACACCGCTGAAATGTTCACGTGACTGACTACCCGCCTTCTATATACTTACCCACATACAATTTTTTGCACGCAAATTATTATGAATTTTTTAACTTTATAAGAACGTACGATTTACATACGTAGATGTACAGAATTAATAGAATAAAAAGGTCAGGGAAAAAAACAAATGTTGCGCTTAAATCCTATTAAATAATAATTGTAGATAAATAATACTAAAGTAATTAAATATAACTTAAGCATATTATAWATTATATGCAACATATTATCGAACTGGTCTTCCCGAGTGACCGAGTCCCCGGTGTTGTATATGRTATTAATTGAGTATTGTACGCCTRTCGTTGCAGTGCTCGTTTGCCGACTGTGTCAACTACAAGAAGAGTCAGGAACCGTTTTACCTCCACCCCCCATCCACAGTGGGCGGTCATCATCAGCATCAACCACAACAGCAGCAGCAGCAGCAACAGCATAACGGGACCGGACGTGGCAAGGTGGCCGTCAAAGACGGTTTGTATGTCGTGAGCACGCCGCCACCACCGCCTCCGCCGCCACAGCAGCAGCAGCAGTTTTGCAAAGTCAACTCGGCGGCGGCCGTGCTGCAGGCCGTCGAACCGGTCAGACCGCCGCAGCCGCAGGGACCGTTTTACCTGCACAACCCGAACGGAGTGATCGACGACCCGGTGAAGGACATATTCGCGACGGACAAGACCGCGGCAAAGACGGTGTCGTACGTGACCACGACCGCTCCCCCGCCGCCACCTCAGCCGGCCATTGGCCTCAACACTATGACCGGTAAGACGCGCTATTTTATTATAATGTTGTTCATACGAAAGTGTGCTTATATATTATATTACATTATTATTATATTTCAGTTTTCGTTAAAAGTGTACATCAATTTTTTTTTTAAATTATTATGGCGGATTTTTTTTCACCTTATACGTTACACGCGTTTTACAATGCTACCGCCCGCGTAATAATAATAATAATAATAATAATAATAATAAAATTCGAATACAGCTTATATACGTACGATCGCTGTCATTTTTCTTTACTAGACATGATATTATTATAATACATCACTATAATAGTAAAGGACAATATTAGGCGTGACTAGGTGACGTCCGACCGATCGGAAGATTATTTATTATATTATAAGTTGTCACTTCAATAAATTATAATAATACATCTTATTGAAATTTATAAAAAAAAAATTACATAATAAGACTATGATTGGTTAAAAAAAAATTAAAAAGAATTCAAGTATAGATACAAATAAAATTATACCACGCAAATGATAATATTAGTACAAACGGTATAAAAAAAAAAAAATACTTTAAATCGGAACATTGGGGACTTCAAAGAACAGTTAAAGTAATTCAACTGCAAGATGATGTTAATTAAAACAATAGGAATGAAGTTGAAAGGAATGTCAGATAGTTCAACTGTTAGTGAAAAGAATCATATTTTTAATTGTTTTATATCTATGGCAGAGAAGAGAGTATTGTTTTTTGAAAATATATAAAAAGGAACGAGCTGRGAGATTATGTACTTAATAAGGGACAATGAAACATTATGAAATCTATCATTGTAACACCTATCTAAAAAATGAACCTATATGCACTGAAAGGAAGTAGCTTTAGGTAATTTCTACAATTTTAATTCTACAGTTGAAAAATATAAAATCAAAGAATGAAAGATACTACGTTTATAGTAGAATGATATGGGATCGATAGTCGGCGGTCGACAATAAATCATTCGTTTCTCATTACTCATTAGCTATACTAGGTATACATATTTATCATTGTGACCGAAAATCTAGAGGAATTCATTCTTAAAGCCGGAATTTATAAGACRTGAGGTACAAGTTTAAAGTGGAATAAAAGTTGAACAAATTAATATTATTTAAATAATATGAGAATACYATTGTTAATGACTTAATACATTTCCGGGCATAACCGGTACTCAAACCGGTACTAACTAAAATCATATTGTGTATAATGCATTAAACAAAGAAGCAAGCAGCAGTGTAACGCGACCATCGCAAATACGACGTGTTGATACGTCACATAAGTATTTTTGAGCCTAATTTTCCTGAAATATTATCGATTTACATCGAAAAGATACTGTCTGTCGTTTCATTGAAGCGCGTTTAACGTCAATAAAATATAAATTCTCTATAACGTTGTTTTCACGCATGGTATTCACTAGACAAAAATATTGCATTCGTTTATGGGTCGCCGCTTCGTTATATCATTATATCGAGTGTAGGCCGCATTTTTTTTCTAATCACTTTCGCGTTCTAGTACGGCATACCTGCAGTATGATAAACATGTAATACCTATATACTATAACCAATAACGTAATAAATAAACGATAACGAGGTTGTTTTACCAGGACACAATATGATAGGTATAGGTTTTCACGTGACCACTGCGCAAGCGCTAATTATTAAAACGACCGTTTGCTATTGAAAAATACCAAAATGCTGTGGTAAGATTTGAGAAATCAGGCAATCGTTTTTTGCGGCACAACGCGGTGAGAGTGSCTATGCCGGCGTTATCTCGTCTGTCGGGCGCGTTATCTGTGTCTAGATAAGTGGTTTAAGATATAAGTAAACAATAATAAATGAAAAACAAAAAAAAAAGGCGTCACCGTGTGCCCACCGGTGTATACTGCTATAGAATAATATCACATTTTAATATAATTATATGAGTTGTTTGTGCCGCTGCAGTCGCCGTTCAGCGTTTACACGTCGCCGCCGCCGACGACAATAACCATACCTAATATTAATAACATTGTAACAACATCATGGTCGCCGTCGACCTTTGCGCGGCGCTCTCGCCGTGCCCGTCACGACTGCTGCAGCGGCGCCGGTGGGTGGGTGGCGACCGGCACGGTGGTTCAGAAGCCCGGCACGACGTCACGTCGCTGTCCGGTCCAGCCGGCACATTCACGCCACTAACCACGACGCTTCGGGCGCCCGATTTTTCCGTGTTCACAGTCAAGGTGGAGGTGCACAGCAGTAACAGCAGCTCCGGTGCCGGATCGGACGAGAACCTCAGCTCGTCGTCGTCGGATCGGGGCAGCGACCCAGGCACTGCGGCCGGCGAAAACGACTACGAGGACATTTACGAGGTGAGGCAACGGGCCGAAGGCGTGGGTCTTCTGCACCACACTCAGCATCACCACCGCGGCAAAGAGTCCAAGAGCCCCAGCCGGGACTCGGGTAGCCACAGCCGGTCCGGTTCCATGAGCTCTACAGGCAGCGGAAGCGGTGGCACGCCTGGAGTCATCGGTTCGTCCGTGGTCGTGCTCCATACCAGTAATGGTGGTGGCGTCGACGACGGAAAGTTGATCAACTCGTCGTGTGCGACGATCACCAACGTCACCGTCAACGGATCGCCTGATATGATTCAGTGCTACGAGCCAGTCGGTGTAATGACGCCAGGTACGTAATATTGTTGATTTAATTTTATTATTTTACCAAACCCTTTATAATATAAATGCAGAGTATGATGCACAATCAAAGTTTACAGTATAAATATTACTCAACATACTATTTAATTTCTTGAATTCGTTAAAAATTAAAAATTAAAAATAATATCTGCATTATAATATTAATTACGTTAA